TTTTTTTTTTTTGTGAATTACCTATTCATATATTTGTGTTCTTTGCATAGTGTCCTATTAGTAATTTGTAGGAACAATTTATGTACCACAGATATTAACCCATTGTCCATTATGTATGTAGCAAACGTTTTCTCTTAGGCTGACATTTTGTAGTACATAAATGTAATGGTTTCATGAGTTCAAATCTGTTAGTCTTTCTTCATGGCTTCTTGGTTTTGTATATTATTTAGAAAGGTCTGGTAATGCCAAATGAAAAAAAAAAGGAAGGTCTGATCAAGTTATTTAACATTTCCGAACTTCAATTTCCTCATCCCAAAAATGGGGGATAAATTATATTACTTAAGATTGTTAAAAAGATTGCATGAAACAAGTGTAAAAATGTTTTACCATGCTACCTGGCAAACAGCAGACACTTAGTAAATTTTGTTTATTGGGTACTTGACAAAGATCTCTTAAGTTCCTATTGTGTGCCAGTTGTTGTGTTAGGTGCAAAGAATGTAGAGATGAGATTCTGCCTTCCTTTAGGGAAGGGGGATGGTGTTATTTTCTTCCTACCAGATTACAATTTAATACTATTTAAAAGATGATTTCTGTTAATTTGTGGGAGATTGCATTTTTTTCCCCATCAGATCATTGTGATAAAATAACTTGTGCTCTTTTCTTATTCCATGGTTTGGTTTGTTTTCAATAGGATTTTGTTTGTTTTTCACAAGAATGGTCATTTGAGCTGTAAGGCAAAAGTGCAGCCGCCTAGGCTGAACGGTGCGAAGACTGGAGTTTTTTCCACAAGGAGCCCTCATCGCCCCAATGCAATAGGATTGACTCTGGCCAAGCTGGAAAAGGTAGAAGGTAACCATTTCATTTCTACTTTTACCTTTTTCCTTACCCAGAAAAGTCTTATAAATAAACACAGCATTCACCACTGGCTGTTTTTTCAGACAAGTACCAATGATTTTAACTCCTGAGAACCACAAGACATTGAAGAAAATACGGTGATTAAAAGAATGTTAGCATTGAAAAATGTTGAAATAAACTCTCATAGAATGCTTAGAGTTTGTTTATATTATTACATATATCCCAAACTAGTAAATTATTTAGAAATAACACAAAGATTTCATAATCATTAAATTAGTAACCAAAGTTTCTCTTGACTTGGAATGCAATAAATACAGAACGATTTAAAATAATTTTTCAGTTTAACACAGGAATAACTCATTGTACATGCACATATGAAAAACACATAGACTGGTGGTATATTATTCCTTCCTTGTAGTCATGGGGAAATAGACATCATGGCTGCAGCGCAGATGTCAACTGTACAATGTGGCAGGAGTCTGGGATGTTCTTGTTCACTACAAGAACAAACATTGGTCAGGTTATAGAAGTTTTAAACTAACTAGCTTTAACTGTGTGTTCATATGTAATATAGTTACACATGTATGCAAAGCATTCCATTTTTGTTTTGTTTTCTTTTCTTTTTTTTTTTAGCATTCCATTTTTGAATCACTCTGACCTAATAGATGCATTTGTTAGGCAGAAGATGAAATGGCAGGTAAACTAGGAGTCAGGAGACCATTTCAGGCTTCAGCCTACTGGTTGTGAAGTGGGCAAAGGAGAAGGACCTGCTTCCTCTGTGATTCAACAGGATATTTTGAGACTCTTGTAAGACAAAAGTTCTGAAACTGCTTTCCAGGCTATTGGGCACTAGATAGATGAGAGCAGTTATTTTGCTTGTTCTTTCCCATAACTTGAACTCCCTCACTGGATTGTACTCAACTAGGCCTTAGGTAGTTGTCCCAGAAAAATTCAGTACCTGATCCACCTTGAATTTTATCAATTCGTAATGGCTAACCAATTTGGGTAGCAAGTACTAGAATATTTTATGATTATTCATGTAACTCACACATATTTTCTAGCACTGAATATGTGCCGGGCAGGCATTGTCCTAGGTGCTGGAGCTATAGTGGTAAACAAATCAGATAAAAATAAAAATCCCTGCCCTCAAGAACTTAATGTTTCAATGGGGATGTTAAGTCAGAAAGATTAAAAGGCAAACACAGTAGCACTGTAGACATTACTATATAAGCTTTATGGTAGCTAGTGTTTGTGCAGTGCTTTACAGTTAGTGTTCACATACCTTATCTCCCAGTGGCTCTGTGGCTTTGATAAAGTAGCAATCCCCATCTCATACATGAGGAAACTGGGGCTCTTTAATGTTAGAGAATCTGTCTAATAGCTTCCAGCCAGGTGGTTGTCTGACTCTAAATCTCTTGAATTCTTACTTACGCTACAGTGCCTTTCTTTTTCCTACAGATATTGTTAGGCATAATTCATCATCTAGCAAATCCAGAATCAGCTTTCCAGAACTCCAGTCTCATTTATAATAAACATGTTTCAGAAATCAGGGTCCTGTATTAGTTACATTTTTCTTAAATGGAGACGGAATCAAATGTGACTACATGCAGGTTTTCTGTTCTCATTTGCCTTATTTTCTAAGAGTCAGGTTAGCAGATGACTATTTGTAGCAGGAACTGGACAGTGTCTGTCCAATGGGATGACTGGAGTCTTGTTTTTAGTATTGGTAATGCAGACTTATGTGCTACTTAATCGTTTGAGTCTTCATGGATGTATTAGATTTCTATTGTTATGTAACAAATTACCACAAAATCATCAGTTTAAACAACACACATTTATTATGTGTTTGAAACATTATTATGTACCTCTGGGTCAGAAGGACAGGCACAGCTTAACTCGGTCATCTGCTTAGGGTCTCACTAGATTGCAGTTAAGTTGTCAACTGAGATGAGTTCTTATCTGGAGGCTTGACCATGGAAGCTTCTGCTTCAGGGGTACCCAGACTGTTGGCCACATTGATTTCCTTGCTATTGTAGGACTGGGGGCCTCAGATTTTTGCTGGTTGTTGGCTGGAGGCTGCCCTCAGCTCCTAAAGGCTGTTTGCAGTTTCTTGCTACATGGGCTCCCAGCATGCCTGCCTACTTCACCAAACCCTCAAGGAGAGACCCTCGAGTCAGTCTTCCAGTCAGCAGCAGTGCTCATGAAAAGCATAGTCACTGGAGGGACATCACACCTCTTTTGCCATATTCTGTCGGTCAGAAGCCATTCACACTCAAGGGGAAGGATTATTTAAGGGCATGAACTTCAGGAGTTAAGGGGTCACAGGGCCACCTTTGGATCTGTTTGCCACAGTAGAAACCCTCATTGGTCCCACAGAGATATATTGAGGACTACTATGTCTCTGGAACAGAAGCACCAGTGATACAAAGATTAGTTGTCCCCAGCCTGTGTTAAGGGGCCTGCCTGCTGTCTAGGGACAAAGACTCTAAGCAGGACACTGCCTGACCATGGGGAAAGGGCTGTAGCAGAGGTTTGTGCACAGGCTTTTCTATGGGGACTGTAGGAATGAATGCTTTTGTCTGAAGCAGCCAGAAAGGCTTTGTAAAAGATGTGTGCTTTGAGGGCCTCAAAGAGCAAATAGGCGTTTGATAGGTAGAGAAGAAGATGGGCTTCCAGGTAGAAAAAGGATGTGTGTTGGTACCAGGTCTGTGTGAGAGAATTGTGAGTAAGCGCAGTGAGGCATGAGCAGACAGTGTTCGAGGATTCTGGGGTATGATTGTATTCTCTAAGTGTTTGCACTGTTCTTCATTTTTCACATTTTTATGTCATAGGTGGAGCTATATACCTTTCTGGAATTGACATGATACATGGCACACCCATACTAGACATCAAGCCCTATATAGCTGAGTATGACTCACCACAAAATGTGATGGAGCCTTTAGCAGATTTTAATTTACAGAATAATCAACATAAACCAAAAACTGTGCCCCAGTCTGACGGCAAGACTGACAGCTGTGACCAGCGACAGCTCTCAGGGTGTGATGAGCCACAACCCTACCATGGCACTAAGGAGAAACCTAAATGTCCTGAAGACAGGACTTCAGAAGAAAACTGCCTGACACATAGTGACACAGCACAAAGTCAGCAGGCATTCCCTATGCACAGGGAGATCACAGCGGATTTTGGTTTGGAATCAAGAAGTGATCAGAGTTCCAGCGTGGCAGAAGAGCAAATTGGCCCATATTGCCTGGAGAAGAGCTTTTTAGAGGAAGGTACAGATAAGAAGCTAGAAAGAGTGGAAGGAGCAGCAGTCCTGCAAGGAAGCAGGGCGGAGACACAGCCTAGGGCTCCTCACTACCCTGCTGGAAGGGCTGATGGAGCTCTCCACAGCGTGGTTCCTGCCTGGGTGAGAGAGGCCCCTGTGGCCACTTTGGAAGTGCGGTTTACTCCTCATGCTGAGATGGACCTTGTGCAGCTCAGTTCACAAGGTGAGCCAGGTATCTTCAGTTTCTTCATTCTGAATGAGAGATGAATTTTTACTCTGAGATTTAGCCAAGTTTAGCATTTCTGAGGTCAGTTATATGGAGTGTTTTTCAGTATGACTGGTTTTTAGGAAACAGGTATAAAATAATATTTTTGCAGCACCATCATATGATAACTTTTGTTGGACAACTGTGTGGTCAGCACATTTAGTTCCAGGCTGTCAGAACATTGGCAGAGGGTGACTGCTGCCTCACAATGTGGCCCATGACTTTCAGCCCCTTGTCTACTTGTTGCAGTAGTTCTTAGAGTCTTCAAATATCATTCAGGAGCTAAATTGTGCTTGTTCTATACTTAAGTACATAGAGTTTTCTCATTTGTTTTGCTGTATGACTATAGAAATGTTACATTGTACTCTGACAGTCAGGTAGCCCATAGCTCAGCCTCTGGCACAGAGGACTCCAGGAGCACGGGAATTGCCCCAACAAAGTCCCACTGCTAGAGGCATACACTTTCTTGCAGAAGAGAGGCCACAGGGCTCTTATGTGGAGGCTGCTTACTTTAACACATAGTTCTTAATAAATGTTATCTGGTTTCCCTAGCCCACAGCAGATCCCAAGCAGCAGCCTAGAATGAAGGAAGAGGCTGTTAATATGTGGATACAGCAATACCAGTAAAAAGTAACTAGTTGCAGGCTGGGCCTGGTGGCTCACTCATGTAATCCCAGCACTTTGGGAGGCCGAGGCGGATGCATCACTTGAGGCCAAGAGTTCGAGACCAGCCTGGCCAATTTGAGGAAACCCTATCTCTATTAAAAATACAAAAAATTAGCCAGGTGTGGTGGCAGGAGCCTATAATCCCAGCTATTCGAGAGGCTGAGGCAGGAGAATCGCTTGAAGCTGGGTGGCAGAGGTTATAGTGAGCCAAGATGGTGCCACTGCACTCCAGCCTGGGTGACAGAGTGAGACTCCATCAAGAAGAAGCCAAGGTGATGTCAGATTGCAAAAAGCTGTACTTTGTGTTACAACTCAGTAAAGAGCCAGTATAGCCGTATAAACAGGGAAGTTCATTTATTCATTCTACAGCTGTTTACTGAGCTTCATCTAGGTACCAGACATTGGACTAGGTTCTTGGAATACATCACTGAACAAAACAGATTTGAAAAACCTGTGTTCTCATGCAGCTTGCATTCTAATGAGGAGGAGAGAGACAAACTAAAAGCATAATAAGCAATCAAGTTATTGTACCAAACATACTCAACATTATATAATATTAGAAAGTGATAAGAGTCGTGGAAAAATTTAAAAGAGAATACAGCGGGATTGGGGTGTTACTATTTTTATTTTTGAGACAGGGTCTCACTCTGTCACTGAGGCTGGAGTGCAGTGGCAAGAACATGGCTTACTGCAGCCTCAACTTCCTGGGCTCAAGTAATACTCCCACCTCAGTCTTCTGAGTAGCTGGGACTGTAGGGGCGCACCACCACACCTGGCTAATATTTTGATTTTTTTATAGAGACGGGGCCTCATTTTGTTGCCCAGGCTTGTCTTGAACTCTTGGGCTCAAGGGATCCTCTGTCTCTGCCCCACAAAGTGCAGGGATTACAGGTGTGAGCCACTGCACCTAGCCTGTTGCAATTTTAAATAGGTGGTCCCAGTGGTCCTCACTGAGAAGACACATATGAGCAAAGGTGAAAGAGGTGAAGACATGAGCCAACCTGTCCACTGAAAGGACATGCTAGCCTGAGGGACAGCCAGTGCATAGCCTCAAGGTGGAGGGTTCGTGGCACATTTGAGGTCACGTGGCCAGAGTGGACTGAGGAGGGCTGAGTGGAAGGATATGAGGTGAAAAAAGTACTAGAAAAGGGATGAGGTCACCTAAGAGTTTTATAAGCCATTGTAAGGACTTGAGTTTTGCTCTTGAGAGGAGTGAAAGGCAGAGGAACTTGATGTCTGTATCCCCAGAGAGCAGGAGACCATCTCTGGGTTCAGATCACTGCCTGGGTAATTTCTGGGTTATCACACTTCAATGACATGTACAGGCAAGCTAGAATTCCTTATTGAGACAATGAAGACTTTCATTCCATATCCAGAAAATAAAGGCTTACACAACACTAGGTTTTCCCCTGCTTTACAAGCAGGGAGAGAATGAAGAGGCTAGTGGGATATTTGGCTTTGATAACTCCAACCTGAAGGAAGTTCTTCTGATGGGAAAAAGAAGTCTAAAAGTTGGTGCTAGAGACACGTGACATCTGACTCTGAGATTTCCCCATTTCTTCCTGTCAGAGCCTCAGCCAGCCCATACTATTGCCTTTTGCAAAGGAAAAGCCACCCCTTCCTCTGGATGGAGGCAGCCACTTGCCAGGGCCCAAGCACTGGTTTTAGCCCCAACATGCCAACCTCAGCAGGGTGCCATATGCAGGGCACCCCCTGCACCTCTGGGTGCGGCAGTCTTATGGTCACAAGTGGCGATGTCACTTGAGGGTTGTGCTTCTCATTCGTTCTTAAGCCTTTACTTTATTTATTTATTTTATTATTATTATTTTTTGAGACAAAGTCTCCCTCTGTAGCCCAGGCTGGAGTGCAATGGTGCGATCTCAGCTCACTGCAACCTCTGCCTCCCGGGTTCAAGTGATTCTCCTGCCTCAGCCTCCCGAGTAGGTGGGACTACAGGCATGTGCCACCACACCCAACTAATTTTTGTATTTTTAGTAGAAACAGGGTTTCACCGTGTTAGCCAGGATGGTTGTGATCTCCTGACCTCATGATCCACCCACCTTGGCCTCCCAAAGTGCTGGGATTACAAGCGTGAGCTACCACGCCTGCCTAAGGCTTTACTTTTAAACAAATCTTTGGATTTTAAAATTGATCTCTTTATTTTAAAAAGTTCTGTTAATAGAGATTATATCATCACTGTATACAGTTGATGGGAGGAGGATGATCGGTTGTAAAAGGATTTTGTGGTGGAACAAAACAGTCCTGCCTCCTAGACACTTTATGTTTACACTTACCTCTTGTCCCATGGTTATTGTTGAATGCAACCTACTATGGAAGGTTCTGTTTTTCTAACTGCAGTGCAGTATGCATCAGGTGTTTGAAATATGCCTTATTGATTTAAAAAATGGTTAAAATGAGAAATTAGGCAGTGTAACTACAAAACAGGAACTGATTGATCGCAAACAGCAAAATGCAGAGCCGTTGCAGAAATGAGAAATGACTTCAGGAAGTTCTGAGTCTAGAAGAGGGTAAAGGTGTTGAACTGAGAGGAAGTTTGGTGCTAGAGTGAAGGTCTGGGCAGAGTGCTATGGGCATTCTGAGAGGAGAATCCTGACTTGGGTCGGGGAGGGTGTGTGGGATGAAACGGTGCTTGAGCTTTGCCTGGCAGGATGAGTAGGCAAGGAATTGGGGAAAGGCACCCATGCCCGATGAACAGCCAAACAGAGGCTGGAGCCTCTACCAGAAATGCCGTAACTGGAGAGTGTGATGAGCTCCTAATTTTTGAGTGGCCTTCGAAGCCATTTTGTATGAGCCATGCGGTAAAGGAAACTTATTGCGATATAATTGATTTTTTTGTTTGTTTGTTTGAGATAGAGTCTTGCTCTGTTGCCCAGGCTGGAGTGCAGTGGCGCGATCTTGGCTCACTGCAACCTCCGCCTCCCATGTTCAAGTGATTTTCCTGCCTCAACCTACTGAGTAGCTGGGATTGCAGGTGTGTGTTGCCATGCCCAACTAATTTCTTTTTTTTTTTTTTTGTATTTTTAGTAGAGATGGGGTTTCACCATGTTGGTCAGGCTGGTCTTGAACTCCTGACCTCGTGATCTGCCTGCCTCAGCTTCCCAAAGCACTGGGATTACAGGTGTGAGCCACTGTGCCCAGCCCATATAATTGATTTTTGACTAAAAATTGTACTTCATGGCTTTATTTGCCCAACTTGCTTATTAGATATAGCCCATAGTGATTTTTGGCTGCTTATAGAAATCAAGTCCACTCCAAAGGGATAAATATCCACCACCACCACAGATGGTATTTTGAGTCGGGGCAGCGTTTTTAAAGTCCATACCTTCCTGGAAGGGGCTGACCTTCATCTGGATGTATGGGATGTTGAAAAACTAGGTTGCAGTTACTTTTTAAATTTGTTTTATACATACTGTATTTTAAAAAATTAAAATACATTAAAAATCCTACAAACATAGGAAGTTTTGCTGCTCCTTAGGGACACGGATGTGAGACAGTCCCAAAACAAAGGGACATTGCTGGTAACTGTGAAGCTGTGATACCAGCTTTCTTGTGCAGCCTCTCTTGCCTGTAGCTGGTGTTCTGGGTGTGTGTGGGTTCTCTTTCTTGTGGCTTTCTGAGGATGCTGGGACTGTCATGAATTTCCTTGTCTCTGTTCTGAGAAGAAAATGACAAGGAATGAAAGTCTATATTGAGTATAGAAAAGTGACATTTTGGATGTCAGGAAAGTGTCATTTTGGTTGACGGAAAATGAAAGCTCACCTCTTCTAGTTAGGAGACTAAGGAAAAATGCTACCATGATTTTTCTGTTCAGTAGAACGAAAATTTGGGGGTGTACAAGTTAAACCTAATGGCAATAAAGACCTCTTAAAGGTGACAGTCTCCGTAATGATCAAATCGATTTCCAAACCCTGTCCATGTTAAGTGATTTTTAAGGAATCAACCAAATTCCATACTGAAGTTTGTTGTGAAATTTGACCTGCATGATACTGCTCATTGTGTTCTTTTCATTGCAGATGTTGGTCAGGCATCATTTAAATATTTTCAGTCAGCCGGGGAAGCGAAGCGTGCCATTGAGGCTGTGCTGTCAGCGGACCCTCGGTCTGTGTACCGCCGGAAGCTTTGCCAGGACCGCCTGTTCTACTTTACTGTAGACATAGCGCATGTCACTTGCTGGTTTGGTGATGGTTTTGCAGAGGTTCTGAGGATCAAGCCGGCTTCTGAGCCTGTTTATATGACTGAGCCTGTGGGGTCCTTGGTGTCTCTAGGGTCTTAAGGAGCCTCTGTCATGTCTTTAAGATAGCATCATTTATCTTTGGTTGTGGCTTTTGGATTTTCTGAAGAAGCTAATGTACCGAGAAGCAACACTTTGTGATCTCGCTGCTTTCATTGATTTGGGCTGTTCAAAATGTTTATTTGAAAAATGCATACTTTAATAAACTAAGAGATAGAAAATACAGAGAAATCATTCTGAAGAAGCTAATGTACCGAGAAGCAACACTTTATGATCTCACTGCTTTCATTGATTTGGGCTGTTCAAAATGTTTATTTGAAAAATGCGTACTTTAATAAACTAAGAGAAAATACAGAGAAATCACCGAATGCTTTTTGATCTGTTGATATTAAAGAATCCAAAGGTGTTGCTGTCTTGAAAATTTCTGAAAGAAGCTTTTCTTGGTGTATTTGATAAAATTAGACAAAGGTCATTCCAGCAGAAACTTTGAAGTTGAGGGGATCTGTTTAACAATTCATATTGGTTTTCCTGTCTGTCTGGAAAAACCTGACCTTTCTATTTTATTCCAAATCCAACCTATATCTTAGGAAACTAACAAATCAAAAACAAGTAGTTAAGAGATAGTTTTTGAGATTAAATTTCTGTATTTCAGAGACTTTGTGACGTACACACATATGTATATGTATGCATATTTAATACCGATTCTAAAATAGAGACTCTCTGAGATTTCTTTGGCTGTCTTTGTATCAGAAAGGGAAACCACCCCCAGAAGTTCAAGAAAATAATTACTGTTTTTTAATATACTCACTCTGTGACTATTTATTGAGAACCTACTATGGACTAGGTTTTGGTGATAAAATGAGATGAACAAGGTGTTCTTGTTGCAAGTCATGGTTAGTGGAAGAAGTAAGACATAAACAAATTACTGTATTACAGTGTGAGAAATACAGTATTACAGTGTGAGAAATACAGTAATTATATGTGGTTCCTCTGTAGTACCACATAGGAAGCAGTTGTAAGAATGTATTGCCTATAGGTGATTTTAATGATGTGATCCCAGATAACTGAGGATTTATGATCAACATAACCAAATTAGACACCTGTCAACACGATACATACTTTCCTAATCATGATTGTAAATCTTAATAGCTGATTGAAATGAGCTGATTGGAATAGTCTTGAATAGTTTTGAAATGAGCCCTACTGCCTGTGGATACTTGTGCAGAGTCATTTATGGCTGATGACACCATACTCCTAAACCAAACTGGTTTGTAGTTGCCTTTAATGTTACTTAGAACTTCTTGGGAAAGTATCTTTAATTTGATTTTTGATTTTTTTTTTAAAAGATGAGGCTCTCTTGTGCCCAGACGAATGCAGTGGCCTGATCATAGCTCACTGCAACCTTAACCTCCCAGGCTCAAGGAATCCTCCCACCTCAGCCTCCTGAGTAGCAGAGTCTACAGGCTCATGCCATCAGCCCCACTATTTTAAAAATTTTTTGTAGAGACAAGGGTCTTGCCTTGTTACCCAGGCTGGTCTTGAACTCCTGGCATCAAGCAACCCTCCCTCCTCAGCCTCCCAAAGTGCTGCAATTACAGGCATGAGCCACTGTGCCTGGGCTAATTTGATTTTTTTTTAAAGCTTTTGATTTTGAAATCATCATAAGTTCATGGGAAATTGCAGAAATAATAGAGGTCCCATTTACTCTTCACCCAGCTTTTCATTTAACTTCTTCCAGTGGTTCCATCTTACATAACTATAGTAAATGCTAAAGATAGGAAGTTGACACTGGTACAGCCTATACTTTAGTTTGATTTTGTTCTTTTTTCTTTTGAAAAGTTGTTTTGAAGCTAAATCAGGGTTTGAAGCACAAAATGTTGTTTAATATGTTAACAATGACTCTCGGGGATGGTAACCAACCACCAGCCTGATAACAAGAGGACTATTAAGTTGTTTGGGCTTTTATTACACAGTCTTAGGATTTTAGAGCTAAGAAGGATTTTAGGCCAGGTGTGGTGGCTCATGCCTGTAATCAGCACTTTGGGAGGCCGAGGCACGTGGATCATTTGAGGTCAGGAGTTCGTGATCAGCCTGGACAACATGGTGAAACCCTGCCTCTATTTAAAAAACAAAAATCAGCTGGATGGTAATGGCGTGCACCTGTAATCCCTACTCTGGAGGCTGAGGCAGGAGAATTGCTTGAACCTGGGAGGCAGAGGTTGCAGTGAGCTGAGATCGTGCCACTGCACTTCAATCTGGGTGACAGAGTGAGACCTTGTCTCAAAAAAATAGAAAGGGTGTTAAATATAATCTGGCTCAGTCTTCTTCCAGTTCCTGAGTCTCTTCAGTGTTGCCAGTATTTGGCCTCTCCAGGCCCTGCCCAAACACCCTCAGAGATGAGGTATTCACCCCTGACCTGTGCAGCTTATTCTTTGTGGGCAATGCTCATTATTAAAATGTTCTTTCTGAACGTGAGCTCCACTCTGTCTGACAACTCTGCCCACTAGTGATGCCACACGGTGAGGCTGGTTGACCTTCCAGGTTAACCTGTCAGGCCTTCCCTAGGCTGAGCACCCCCATTTTCTTCAGCTGTTTCTTATAAAGTGATCTGAAGCCTCTTCCAACTCCTAGTCCTTCTTGAGTCCGCATATGAGCATTTGTCTATGTGGGTGCAAATTTAAGTGTCCTTTGTGAGGAAATGTACATCTCTAGTTGGTGAACTTCCATCCCTTAGAGAGAGAAATAGAAGCAAAGATTTAAAACAAGCTGTTTCTTTATGTCTTGGAAACTTTTAATTTATCCATCCAAGCTTTTTTTTTCTTTTAAAGCCTTTGAGAGCAGGCCACCATCCAAGCTTATTTCCACTAACCTAGAGAATTAAATATACCTGATTTGTAGCACAAAATAAATAAAAGGTAAAAGTTCTCTCCAACCCTCCATCAAGTGGTTTAAAAACTGTCATTGATTTTATGTCTGGAATTGAAGTTGTTTTGGTGCATGCGTGCATGCACACGGACGCACACAGATATACACTAATCCTAAAAATGAGACGGAGATGAGCTGCAAGAAAACTCAAAAGTGCTGTAAGTATAACTCTCAAAATAGTGTTACAGCTTTAGAGTCCTTTTGTGTTCTGTTTGTATCAAAAGCACATTTAGGAGGTTCTTTATAGGTGGGAGGGGAATACATCAAGAGGAAGAGGTTGCTTGATTCTTGGTCCCTTAGATTATGAAGACTCTCTGGCCAGAGTTTTGGAAAAGGGGTTATGTCTACAAGTAAACTTATGGTTTCAGGACTGCCTTAGAAACTTTTTCAAAAGAAGAAAGGCAAGTTCTCTACTAGGCATTAATGGCACCCACCTTAATTTTTAGCCTTTGCCTTTTGGTTCCTGTAGGGGGAGCCCTTGATAGCAGGTTTTTCCCCCTTCGACACTGGCTTGGAGGAAAACTCCAGTTCAAGCTGTTTAGGTAATTTTGGCCTTTGGCCCACCTGCCCCAGCTTTGAAGAACAGTAACTTGTACAGGCAATGCTGACTGATGCTTGTCAGTCACATGTGAGAAGAGATTAGGAAGATGAGTGGCATGTATTGATTTTTTTTTTTAAACTGTAAGCTTGGCTTCAGGGGTGGGATTGATTATGTGGATCTGTGCACAACCAGGTACGCTCGTTAGCTAAGCCCATGAACACACACGGACAAGGCACCGACTGTGCTTCTGTGTTTGTGACTTTTTTTCTTGGAAAGAAGAAAATGAAGTTGACGTGAATCCATCTCTTATTGGTAGGGTTTTTAAAATGCTACGGTCCCAGAGAAAGCAGGGGAAGACTCAATAAAAGTGAAAGTCTGCATCACTGAACTTTTACCATATCCTTGTAACTGGGCTATGCACTTTTTGTACATTGGTTGGAGGTTAACTAATGTGCTCAAACTGGTCAGCTGGTCAGCCGCACAGCTAGGATTCCAACTCACTAGCCTGGTGCAAGTCCGCTTTCTTCTCAGCCTGGCTCTACCGCCTTCCTCAGTACAGAAGTGGGTGCTTAGCACACCATGCTGGTTTATTGGAAGGTCAGCAGTTCCATATGCTTCAATACAGGACACTTTGTCAGAGAGAAGTCATGGAAATCCAACTACTCATGAAGAATGCACAGAGGAATAGGGGCAGAAACACCCATTTCCACAGGATCTGCATGGACCCTCCTGGGAAGCAGGATGGGAAATGTGAACAGCACCGGGCTTGGCCTCGGAACTTCAAGCACTTGCTGCCCTGACATGGACTAGGTCATGACCTCAGGCAAGCCGCTGCACCCTGCCTCCAGCTCTGTGACCTTACAGAGTTGTTGCAAGGATAATGCTTGGGAAAGTGTCTTCGGAACTCTTCAATAGCCTGTAAACCTAGGTAATATTTTTATTGTGCTTCTCTTCCTTGATAGCCTTTCTCTACCACTCTGTTCTGGCTTACCTGGCTAGATAAGCCGAGTTCAAGAGGATCTAAGGGGCCCCTAAAATTCAATGTATGGATGGTTTGTTTTTGGTTTTGGTTTTGGTTTTTTGAGGCAGTCTTGCTCTCTGGCCCAGGCTGGAGTGAAGTAGTGCAATCATGGCTCACTGCAGCCCTGTCCTCCTGGGCTCAAGTGATCCTCCTCCTTCAGCCTCCTGAGTAACTGGAACCACAGGTGCTTGCCACCATGCCCGGCTATTTGTTTGTTTGTTTGTTTGTTTGTTTTTTGAGACAGCCTCTCTCTGTTGCTGAGGCGGGCATGCAGTGGTGCAGTCATGGTTCACTACAACTTCTGCCCCTGGGCTCAAACCATCTTCTGACCTCAGCCTCTCAAGTAGCTGGGACTACAGGCACACACCACCATGCCTGGCTAGTTTTTGTATTTTGGGTAGAGACAGGGTTTCACCATGTTGCCCAGGCCAGTCTTGAACTCCTGGCCTCAAATGGTCTGCCTGCTTTGGCCTCCCAAAGTGCTGGGATTACAGGCATGAGCCACTGTGCCAACCTGTCTTTTTAATTATAGAAATTTTTTTAAGGTTGGGCTTGAGAGGCGAAGGTGGGAGGATTGTTTGAGCTAAGGAGATGGAGGTTGCAGTGAGCTGAGTTTGTGCTACTGCACTCCAGGCTGGGTGACAGAGCCAAACTCTGCTTCAGAAAAAAAAAAAAAAAAAAAGAAAAATTTAAAAGGACTATTTTTTTAAAGGACTGTTTTTATCAAGCAATATGATGTTTTGCTAA